AAATGCCAGTCAAAAGTGTTTGAATCTCTTTCAAAGCTTCAAAGCTACTTGTAGTATAAGGTGCATGGCCTAATCAGAGCCGTTCTACTCGTATTTTTTTTTTTTTGTACAGGCCTGACAGTAGTCAAGCCTGGAATGACTAGTAAAACTGAGCTCAACTTTCCAAAAGAAAAAAAAAATGCTAATCACAATTAATTTAAGATTTAACAATTGGGCATTTACTTTTTTACATCAAGTCTGGTTGAATTGTATTAGATTGCTTTTCCCCTAAAACTGATTTTGTAAACAACTTTTTGTTATCTGTGTTTCATATTAAAAAAAATATCTAAATAATCTGATTCATTAAATTGTGACAGAAAACAAAATCAGAATATCATCTGTGACTGGGGCATGTACTTTCTCATAGCATTGTATTTGATTTTTTCATGCTGTTCTTCTGGTACTGACTTTTTTGGTGTGTGTGCAGGTGGTGTGGGTCGGAACGTGCCTGGGGGCCATCCTGCTTGGACTAGATCTCGGTCTGGCTGTGGGTTTGGGCATAGAGCTTCTGACCGTCGTCTTCAGGACTCAGTTGTAATAATAAAATTTATTGCATTTGACATAAAGGAAAAAGGAAATTTCAGTTGTACTGAATCAGATAGAAAGGCATAAATTATATCATGAAACCATGAGACTTCAAAGCTAATATGAGTACTGTAATAAATTGGCAGGGCTCCAATGTTATGTCCTGTGTAATTCCATCTTATAGCATTGACATGTTGCTTAAGTTTATCACAGCTTTATCAGCAGAATATTACTCATTGTTGCAACAGTGTTCAATATAATTCCTACTAATAGGAAGTATTTAAACCAATCCATTGCAAAGCCTCAGCAGGTCTTACTGCTGCGATAGTAGCCTGCCCCCTGCTGGCTACACAGTGAGATATGCATTAATATTTCAACAGAATCAAGAGATACGCAACTCAAAATATGTCAATTCAAATTATGTTTTAACGTTTTTGTCAGTTTTGTAATACTTCCTAAAATGTAAGTTTTGAATCTTGGCTGTCAGTCTAAGTAATCTAGCTAGCTCTCAATATACTACATGTACACATAACAACATACATTTCTAAATCAAGAGTGTTCCAGAAGATCATTACTGTAAGAATTAAACGTTAGATGGTCTAATACTGATCCTTGTGGAACCCCTGCTGTACACTTCATATAACTGAACCTAACATCGGTTGCAACTGAGTGCACTAGACAAAAAGTTAATTCTAATTTTAACCGGATAACTATGTTATATCTAAAGAAGAAATTTCTAAGAATGGAAGTGGAGATTTTTTTTATTTCTGTCCTGTCGAACAATGCCCCAACTTTAGGAAAGGTTTTGGTTCCTTCTCCACTTTCAAAAAAGTGCCTCCTCTCATTAGTGACTATAGAATCAGGTTATAATGTTTGGCTAAAAACAAAAAACAAAGTTTCTGTTGAGTCAAAAGTGGAGAACAGATCTAAAATTGTAATGGATAAAAACTCAACAACATAGGATTGAAATTCATTATTTTTATGTGGATCTCAAATTTTGAACTTTCAATCATGTACTTCTCAAATTTATCACAGTCAAGGTCTGAAAGATGGAAAAGCTGTTAACTCTTGTTGGTACTCTAGAGGTGACAGATTCACTTGATGGATGTGGAGCAAAAAAACTGACATAAACTGCTTTCATTAGATCAAGATCTGATGAAAAATTAAAGATCATCAGCAGATTTGAATAGTGGTAGTGGAGCCAATTTATTATTTATAAGAATGTCTTCTTAGGTCTGTCTTTTGAACAACTGCTATTTCTCTTTAGCCCCCGCTGTTCCATTTTGGCCAATCTCCCAGGTACCGACCTGTACAGAGATCAGAAGGATTACCCTCAGGTGAGTCGGTGAAATACAGTAAAACACACTATGTCCATACAATCACTTCACATCCATCATCCGTCCTTCATCAGGTATGTGAACCAAAGGGAGTAAAAATCTTTCGGATATCTTCGCCCATCTTCTTTGCCAACATCGAGTTCTTCAGGAACAAACTTATAGAAGCTGTACGTATGAAATGATGCTGCTTTCATCTGTTTTTGTCTTGGCTTAAATAAGGAAGCGCATAATGATCACACCGTTTTCCAGGTTGGGTTCAACCCTCTCAGAGTTTTACGGAAGAGGAACAAAGCGCTCCGAAAAATCAAGAAGCTGTTACAGAAACGGGATCATGGCATCGCAGAGGTGGGAACTTATTCTAGTTAGAGAGTATGTAAAAAAAACAACAAAAAAAACAACTAAATAACCCTGCTGGTGTTTTGTTGTTGGTGGTCCTTCCTTGGTTTGGACCACAAAGTTCAATGTATTTTATTAGGATTTTATGAGGCAGACCAACACAAAGTGGTGCTTAAATCTGAAGTAGAAGTGTAATCATACATGAATTTGAATTTTTTATTTATATCTGAAAAGTGGGACATTGATTGAGGCCACTTTACTCTCACACCTCTGAATAAAATTCAGAGTAACCAACTCTCTTCAGAAGTTGGCACATTTGCAAACCTACTAACCTAACCAGACAGATCAGGGAAGGAGACCATTAATCAAGAGGACCATGGTAACAATGGAGGAGCTGAAGAGAGTCACAGCTCAGGTGGCAGACTCTCCACTAAGGACGGAATATCCACTGGCGATCACTAGACACATTTCCCTGACTTCCTTACTTTTACTTTAGTTCAGTGTTTAATACCATCATCCTGCAGAGACTTGAACACCACTGTATGTCTCTGAAGCCTGGACTTTCTGACAAAGATACTTCAGCATGTTCATGTTGGAAAACACATGTCCACCAGTGGAGCTCCTCAAGCTTGTGTCCTCAGTCCTCTCTCATTTACTCGGTTGACACATGACTGTGTATTCAGATATAAAGGGAATAAAGTCACTGCGTTTGCAGAAAGCACCACATTTTAGGTGATGTACAAAACATTTGTCCTCTGACTGCTACCTGCTGGGAACAGGGAAGTTTCTCAGAAGTCAAAAAAAGATGGATGTTGCTAAATACAGGGTGATCCTGAGAGACAACTTCTTAGAAGCAACAAAGACTTGAGTCTTTTTACAGAGGTTCTGCATCCAGCAGGGCAATAGCTGTGTTTCCGCTACGAATGCACACAAAACATTGTCAATATTCCTCTAATGTAAAAAAAAAACACAATTTCACTATTGTGGTGTTTCCATTAACTAAGAAACGCAATTAAAATCACACATGAAAAAGTTTGTTCACCTGATAAGTCATAAAAAACACACTGAGCCATCATCTTCTAACCACTTCCTGTTGCATTTTTCTTCATGGTTTGCACCAGTGGCATCATCTGGCTGTTGACCATGTGACTCGTGTGATGTGGAAAAAATGTTTCCACTGCAATCTTGCAAAATAAACCAAAAAACACCTCAACCTATTGGTAAAACTTTGTATCAAAAAACAAGGTTAATTTTGTTTTGTTTGTTTTTTTTTCCAAAATTGGCACAATTCCATTAAGCAAATTTATTTTTAAAATGTCAAATTGCGCAACTATGTGGTCAATAAAAACACTGCTACTGGCTCTGAACACACAGCCAGAGCTTCAATGGAATAATTGGATCAAAGTATATTAATATGTTAGAATGGTCCAGTCAAAGTCCAGACATAAACCTGATTGAGAATCTGTGGCAAACTGATTCCCACAGTTGCATTCTATCCAATCTGAGCTTGAGCTGCTTAATAAGGAAGAATGAGCAAATATTTCCAATGGACTTGCAGACATGGTAGAGAAGCTGGGAGAGAACAATAAAAAAAAAAAAGAGGAAAAAAACGTGATAATTTGCTCTGATCAGTTACATAAAATCCCAATAAAATGCATTGATTTTTGCTCTAACATGCCAAAATGTGGTGGTGTGAACGTTAATGTTACTTTCTACATTGTGCAACAGAAAGGCTTAGAGTATTTGTTCTGGACCGCAAACGATGACCCTGAAGTGAACACGGAGGATCTGGAGCTGCCGGTGGATCTGAAGGAGCTTCCATTTCAGATGAACTGGAGCGCCGAGCTTCCGTCGGAGTTCAGCGTTCCTACAGTGAACCTCCACAGTCTGATCCTGGACTTCTCTGCTGTTTCCTTCTTGGACATTTCTGCGATGAAAGGACTCAAAATGGTAAAACAGCAAATCCACCTGCAGTCACATAAATCTACATGAGGTCCTTCAAACACAGAATGATCTTCTGTGATTGTGACTCATATTTTTCCTCTGATCACAGCTCTTTAGCTTGTTTCTCCACCTGCTTTTTGAGAACTGACTGCAGGGAACTAAAAGAGGTCTGGGGAGTTTTGCATATGTAATTTTTTCTGATTTTGAGCCAGTTGTTACCAGCCTCCATCATGCCAGAAAATACTCAGATCATCCTAAATAGTTGCTGAATTTTTGGAAGAAGTTGCACCGAGGCACTGGTTTGATGTTTTCTTCATGGTGGTGAATGCTCTGCTCTGGTGGTAACCTGATACTGTGGTAACCTACCAAACCAGAGGCTGTCCTGATGCTTTTTGGGCTCACATAGAAGTTCTCGATGATGCAGAAAATCGTCCTTTTATATCTGCAATCTATTCAGCTATTTCTCTCCTGAAGGACCGGTTTGATGAGAAATGATGACTTCATGCTTTTATTTGGATGTAACCACAACTAACACAAGACAACAATAATATTAAACACATCTGTTGTTTTATAGCTGTTATATTTTGAAGCTTCACGTGTTAAAGCCGTATGTTATTCTCTCTTCAAGGCGCTTAAGGAGTTTACCCGAGTTGACGTGGACGTTTACATAGTGTCATGTGACGGTGAGTTTAATTCAGTCTCTGAGGATTTTTCTCATTGTGCAAAAAATGATGATCAGGCAGATGTGAAGACAGTTGAAAGTTGCTGAAGTTATACTCCAAACCTGAAAGTGATGGATAACACAATGGCCACTCGAAACAAAAGTAAGGATAGTAATGCCTGCGTCTCAAGTTGGAGTTCTTCAAGTGACGATTTAAGTGGTGAGTTATGCAGTTTGGAGGCAGAGAGCCACAGCTTAGAGATCCAACAAACCAGAACCCTATGGAGGAACTTACAAGCACTTTACCACAGTGGTGAATTACAAGAACTGTAGTTTATAACACAACAAGGTTACAGACAGACAGAAGTTCTGCTCCAGTTCTGACCAGCATTGTTAATCTGATGTTTACAGGCAGGCGTCAGAATGTTTCTCTGCTAACTGAATTACCAGCATACTCTACATTAACCTGCCATGTAAAGCGAGTCTCACTTTTAGCCTCGAGTGTTTAAATAAGTTAATGTAGCTGGTTAAATATTCTCAGAACACTGTCTGTGGTTAGTTTCTAGCATCTTGTTTGACCTAAAAATCTTAAAGTGAAATCTGTACACACTCCTTAATCACAGCGAGTCCTGATGACGTATTATCCTTCTATAGCATTTACTGGCCCTAATACTTTATTTGTTGCCATAAAGTGCCCTTAACGTTACATATCTAGTTTGAAAAACAAAAGAAAAGCTGCGGAGGGTTTCTTGAAATTGTCTGAAAACTTCAAACATATCCATGTATTTATTGTTTACTTGTATCAACAGCCCTCATCATGGAGAAACTGCACAGCTGCATGTTCTTCGATGATGAGATTCGGACGTCCATGTTCTTCCCAACTCTACACGATGCCATGCTGGATGTGCTAGAAAAACATAAAGACAGCAGCACTGGCAGTGTGGTGAGAAAGAAAGAAATGCAATTTGCTTAAAATTTGTTTAAAAATGAAAATGAGTGATAACTGCCATCATGCCTAGTTTTGTTACTGGTGAAAGTATTTGGTCCACATGGGGTCAAAGCAATGTGTTAGAGGAAGTTTCCAAATCATCCAACAGTCAACAGGGACATGGATGCTGCGTCTGGTACCAGCATATGTCCAAATAGAACCATGGTGGATCTATTCTGGATCAGATGAACTGATGAAGAGAAGCAGCCCCATCATGTTATGATGTTGGCAACTTGACATTTTCTCTCATAGGAAATGTGTCGTTTTAAAGAAGTACCATTCAATCCCTATTTTTCTTTTAAAATTAAGAGAAACTTAAACATTTCCTATTGTTTGTTTATATTTGCAGAAATTGTAAAAAAAAAAAAAAAAAAAAAAAAAAAAAAAAAAAAAAAAAAAAAATTTTTAAAAAAACCCCAAAAAAAAAAAAAACCCCCCCCCCAAAAATTATCAC